GATATTTATATTAATCAGTTCAAGGATTTTAAAGTGAAAGGGAAAAAACACTTAGTTTGCAAACTAAAAAAAAGCTTGTAAGGCTTGAAATAATCTCCACGACAGTGATACAAAAAGTTTGATTCTTTCATAATGAATCATAGCTATAAAAAAATGACAATGGATCTTTGTGTGTATGTCAAAAAATTTCCTGATGATAACTTTATTATTCTCTTATTATATGTTGATGATATGTTGATTATGAGACAAGATACTGGTATGGTTCGCAGGTTGAAAAAATAACTGTCGAAGTCCTTTCACATGAAGGATTTAGGTCTAACAAAGTAGATTCTCTGTATGGACTTTATCCAGGATAAGAGAGCTAAAAAGTTATGGTTGTCATAAAAAAAGTATGTTGAACAAGTGCTTAGTAGATTTAACATGCAATATACTAAATTAGTTAGCAGTCCACTTGCCAACCATTTTCATTTGAGTAAAAAATCTTATCCGATGACTAAGGAAAAGTAACTAGCTATGTCTAATATTCCTTATTCTTTTGCATTCGATTTTTTTATTTATCTTATGGTTTGCACATGGCCTGATATTTTTTATGCAGTTGGTAGAGTGAACAAATTTCTTTCTAATCCTAGAAAGTTTCACTTAGAAGTAGTGAAATAGATTTTCATATATTTAAGGGGTATCTAAAAAATGTGCTTAAGTTATGGAGTTTCACAACTAGTTCTAAAAGGGTTTACTGATGCTAGCATGGCAAATGATCTTGATGGTAGAAAATTTACTTCATGATATTTATTCACTTTTACAGGAAAAGTTATGTCTTAACAGTCTAAGTTATACAAATGTGTTGCTTTATCAAATACAGAGACTGAGTATATTGCAGCAACCGAAGCAGGTAAAAAAATGCTTTGGATGAAATATTTTTTCTTGAATTGAGGTTGAATTAGAAAGAGTATGTAGTATTTTGTGATAGCCAAAGTACTTTAGATTTGAGTAAGAATGCCATATACCATGCTAGAATGAAACACATTGATATTAGTTATAACTAGTTACATTCAGTGATTGAAAAACAGCAGATGCTGTTGAAGAAAGTTCATATTGATAAGAATGTACAAATATATTGACTAAGATACTTTCCAAAGAGAAGCTTGAGCTCTGCAGTAACTTGGTCGAAATGAGTTTTTTAGCCAAGATAAATTTTAAATAAAACTACTATGATGATGAATTTCTTCCTAATTGAGCTAGAGGGAGAGATTGTTAAAAAAATGGAGTCTAGCCCCATGTAATTGAATTTAGACCAATTAAAGGCCATAGGCCATGGTCTTTATTTTTACACGGAGCTGTAGCTACTTAATAAAAAAAGGTGAGGCTGTTTTAAGGTGAAAAACAAAGTGGCACCGAAAACCAAAAAAAAGAAAGGGAAAAAAGAAGCCAAAAAAAATAAAAAGAAAATGAAGAAGGGAGAATTGGTTGAACGGAAGTAAATCCATGATTTGATTGAGCTAAAATTTTGTCAAGAGTTCTATGATTCAAAGTTTTACCTTTTGAACAGTAAAGATTAGGTTTAAAGCTCTCTAGAAACAAATCCATAATGTATTTGTTGAGTTACCTATTTGGTAAGATTTCTTCAATTATTTATTTAGTTGTTGATTAGCTCTAGTTTTAGCTAGAGAAAAACTTTGTATATCCATTATTTGATAATGGAGATTTTTTTATGATCCGTGATTTTTTCCCTCTACATTGGAGGGTTTTCCATTTAAATCTTGGTATGCTTTATTTTTTCTTACATTATTGATTGTTGATTGTTATATATTACTATAACTTAATTGCGATATATTACTTCTGCTTTGTTATGTTTATTGCTTTAGGTCCAACAGCCCTCACATCTGATGTGCTTTATCTGATAATTCTGCATCGTTCTTATGAGCATTCGAGCTTTATCTAGTATTATACCACATGGAGAGAAATCAAACTCTGCACTTTCTAGTTTTTTAATGATTCCCAACATATCATCTTCCAATAGGATTCTTGTAAACCCTATGTCTTTAGCCAATAATAAAGTTTTAACAGTTGCCCAGCTTTCTATCATCCAAGCATCACGAATATATATCTTGTAATTTGGCTGCTAAAGTACCCATTGTTTCTCTTTCATGGTCTCTTATTATTACCCCCACACCCCAAACTTCAAGATTTATGTTAAAAGCCCTATCAAAATTCACCTTTATCACCGTTTCAGGGGGTGCCATCCAGCATGCTCTTGTGTTATTACAATGTACTGCAGTTTTTCCTTGAGCAGCTTTGAATTCTTCTAAGTATGACAGCACAAATCGTGTTGTTTGTTCGGGGCTCCTTTTTGTTCCTCCATGCATCTCTTCATTCCTGTTGCTCTATACTGCCCAAGCTGTTGTAAGAAACATATCGAAAGTATTGGCCTCTACTTGATCTACCACCTTTGCCATCTAATCAGTCATTTCGTGGAGATTGTCAGTCTCCCTCTCCCAACTGATCCCTATACTTGACCAAACTTCCTTTGCTGCAGCGAAGTCTCGTATAGTATGCAGCACCGATTCTTCTTCTTCTTCACACCGTGGACAACCTCCTGTAGGGATTTTTTTTTCCTGATTAGATTTGATCTCACTAGTAGAATATCATGTTTTATTCTTCGTGGGAAAACTTTATTTTGCTCATCACATTCACGTTCCATAATATCCTCCAGTAAGCTTCCTCCCATTTGCTTTTGTTTTGGTCTGTTACCCCACTTAGAAAGTCAGCTCTTAAAAGTCAGTAGCCACTTTTAACTGAATATACACCATTGTTGTTAAAGTTCCATATTAGGGTGTCCGGTTGGTTTAAGGTACCGATTGGTAGCCAACAAATGGCTTCTGTTTCCTCAACCGAGAATGTGTTATACACCAGTTCCTTTTCTCATTTTTTTGTGCCTTCAACGATCAGTTCACTGACCTTCATGTTAACATCCATATCCTCTCTTTGTTCTAGGGGTTCCGGTTTTCCTTGTACCACCAGCCAAGTGTCTTTCCACACTTTGTTTGTTCCACCGTTTCCCACCCTCTTTCTTTTTCCATTCCTGAGTTGTTCTAGTGCCCCCTATATACTTCGCCACGTGAAGGATGGGTTGTTCCCTAGCTCAGCCTCTATCAGTTGCACTATAGGAAAATACTTTCCTTTAATTACCCTATAGGCTAGTGATGAGGTCTCATGTAACAGTCTCCATCCTTGTTTCTATTTTTGCCATACACATTTCACCCCAGTTTAGCCAGTGTATCCCTTTCCCATTGTTTCCGTTGCTTCCACTAATAAGAGCTCAATATGCTATTTATTTCTTTGCATGAGGATTTTGGCAATGCAAAGCAATTCATTGCATAAGAGGGAAAGGCCTGTAGAATAGCTTTTATAAATATTTTTCTGCCTCATTTCGACAACATTTGATGACTCCATCCTTGAATCTTTTTCCTGATGTGATCCTTTAGTTCTTTGAACGCTTTTTTCTGCCTTTTTCCCTACCATGGTTGGGAGGCTTAGGTATTTCTCTGGGTTTGAAAGCACCCGAATTGCAAAAATGTCCTTCACCTCATTTCTATGTTCTTGTCTTGTGTTACTACTGAAAAACATAATAGACTTCTCAAAATTTATCATCTACCCTAAGCCATCTTGATATCTCTGTAGCATGCTCTTCACCCTTTCGCTTTCATCCCTGTCAGCTTTTGCAAACAGCAGGCTGTTATCAGCAAAGAATAAGTGAGTGACTGGCAAGCCAACTCCTGTCATCTGTCTTTTTCTTTGCCGTCTTGTGAGTAAAGCTAACAATCCTTCAGAACAAATAAGAAACAGATATGGTGACAAAGGATCTCCTTATCGTAAAACCCCCTTTTTGGCACAAATTTGTCAGTCATAGATCCATTAATAACAAGGGAATAAGAAATAGATGTAACACATCTCATCAGAAAAGGACACCCAGGTTTTATGGAAACCCATTCTTAATATCATTGCTTCTAGGCAGTTCCATTCCACTCGGTCATAAGCTTTGCTCATATCTAATTTTAATGCAAAAAAAAAAAAAACTCCTTTGCCTTGTGTTTTGTTTTTCATTTTGTGTAGCAGTACATAGGCCACCGGTACATTATCAGTGATAAGTCTTCCAAGTACAAGACATTTTGCGACTCGCTGATACACCTAGGTGAAAAGATTTTAAACCTACTGACAATGACTTTGGAGATTATTTTGTAAAGGACATTGCACAAACTTATAGGCCTAAATTCGGATATGAACTTTGGTTTCTTTATTTTTGGGATCAAGACTGTTTGTATTGTTTATGCTACCTAAAAGTTCATTCCTATTAAGCACAGATAAACAATACCTAATAATCTCAGTACCAACAAAATGCCAATATTTTTGAAAAAAATTAGAGCGAGCATACCATCCGGTCCAGGTGCTTTGGTGGGGTGCATCAGCTTGATGGCTGTGCGAATCTTTTCTTCCTTGAATTCTGCTAGCAAGACATTATTCATTTCGTTTGTCACTTGAGGTTCAATAGCCTCAATTATATCATCAAAGTTTTGAAATCTTTACCTTCTGAATAAATTTTGGAAGTTCTCATGGTCTATGCCCTGGAAGTTTCTTCTTCCTTTTCTCTCTAATCTCCATTCGGATCTTTTATTCCTTTGATGATGTTCTACCGTCTCCTAGCCAAGACTTGTGCATGGAAAAAGTCAATGTTTTTGTCACCTTCCTTCAGCCAATTGGCTCTTGCTCTTTACATCCAAAAGATTTCCTCCTTCTCCAATAACATGTTTATTTTATCTTTGGCTATACTTTCTTTCTCAAGTCATTCATTTGTTGGATAGCCACCAGCCTTGGATCTCTTTACTAAAAGTTGCCATTTCTGCCTTAAACCCCTGATATTTGTCTTTGTTCCACCCAGTTAGCTTCATCCCCACATCATGGAATTTTTTTGTTATTGTCACATTTTCTCCTTTGGCATACGTTTCTTAGACTACATCATCACTTTCGTTATCCTTTGTCCACATAGCTTCAAAAAAGAGTCGTCTCCTTTGTCTCCTTATCCGTCTTTTCCCTTTGTACCCCTCGGTATCTATCAACAGTGGGCAATGATAGTATACTACTGCCGTTAGGTGTTTTACCATTCCCATGGGAAAACACGTGTACCACTTTTCAGTTGCTAAGGCTCGGTCTAGCCTCTCTCGAATGAGTGTTGCAGTTATTCTTCCTCTTTTCAATGAGTACCACCTACCAATAAAACCCATATCAGTTAAACCACTATCCTCCACAGATTCTTTGAACGCTTTCATTTGGTGTTTAGGCCTAAGTCTCTTTTCACTCTTCTTGTTATCCCACGTCAATTCATTGAAGTTTCCAAAGCGCATCCATGCTTTGTTTGATTGGAGTGATAATGTCCTAAGCAACTCCCATGACACATGCCTGTTATTTGCATTTGACTCACCATAGAATCCTGTGATACGGCCCTGTGCTCCTTCTGCTTCCCATTCGATCTCCTTATCAAATTGGTTTTTCGAAAAGCTCATCAGTTTTGGAGGGATATCTTCTCTCCACATCATCATTAAACCTCCACTTCTACCTTCTGCACTCACTCCAAAGCATGATCTCATCCCACATTTCCTTTTGATTCTATCTAGTTTATTTTCATGCAATTTTGTTTCACTTATAAAAACTGCATGGGGATCTTCTCTCCGTAACATGTCTCGAAGATCTCGAACTGCCTGCGGGTTCCCAAACCCACAATAGTTCCATGCTCTAATCTCCACCATTCTGTCACTTTTGTTCCGGTCTACCCCGTATTCATCTTTTTGTCTTTTTTCCTTTCTGTTCAAGTCCATGCATGTTTAGTCCATCATCTCCTCTCTATCCTTTCTTTTCACCTCTTTTTGCCTTACTGCCTCTATGATCTGTCACATATTTCTAGCTTTCCTACTCTATGTAGACTTCAATTTGTTTTTTTTTTTTCCATGTCAATTATAGGTCCTCTAGCCAACGTAGCAACTGCTTCTATTTCTCCGTAGTGGAAATCCTACCCAGACGCTGCTTTTACTTTTACAATCTCATTATCTTTGCCCACGTTAGGTTCAATGTGAAAATTACTTTCTTTATCACACTGGCTACTGGCTAGTTGTATCCTGAAATTCGTGATGAGATCCCCCTAATTTAAAACAGCAGTAACAATCTCCTTAGATCTCGTACTGGAAGTTACGTTCAAAATCTGACTTCCAAATTTTTTAGGTTGTTCCACGCACAGCCTTCTCGTCATAGAATTGTCACTGTTTCTAACCGGCCGATCTGCTATTTCCTGGCTGCAAGGATTTAAAGAACGGTGCGGCTGCTATTTTGTGGTAACGCTAATGTCTGCCGTAGCTATTAAAAAAATATCGGATAAGAATATCATTCATGACAATAACATCATGTTACAATCGCAAAAAACGGTCTAACAGTAAATAACAGTAAAAACAGATCATTATTACCACAACTCTATTTGTTATCCAAAGAAAAAAAAAATCTCAATTTTCATTTGAAAAAAACCAAAAATCAAAAAACACAATCTCATTCAAATTCAAAATTCATATTAAGATTAAGTACTAACAAGTAACGAGGTGAGATTTCAAGTGTAAAAAAAGATGCACTGCTCAAGGGGAAGAAGGAAGAGAAAGGAAAAAAAGAATGATTGTTTCGAGCTAGGCAATGAATGGAGGGGCAACAGCAGGTGATGGCTGGGACTGAAAGTTGCATCTCGGGTTAGGAAGGAAGAAAAGGATGCCGCTCATGAGAAAAGAAAGAAGGAAGAGAAGAAAAATGGATTAGGGATTTGCTAAGAACTAAACGATATAGTTTGAAGATTAAGGACAAAAAAATTACAAAAACAAAAGAGGGCTTGGATCAGATCCATATTATGTTTTGACACAAAAGTTGGCAATTTATTTTGTTTTTGGGTTCATTGGATTTATGGTTATAGGTTTTAATATCAAAACTTAATTGAATATAATTTTTATACTTTTTAATTTTTTTATTTGTAATTTGTTCATTTTTAATTCATAAATATAAAATATTTATAAATAAAAAGATATATTATTAATAACTAGATAAATGTAAAGTTGTTTGGAGTATAAAAAACTCTTATAATGATAAAAAATTATGAATATTATTTTTTATATAAATAAAAAAATCATAAAAATACTTTAAAAATTATTTAAAAAAAATTTATGATTATAATTATAATTATTATATTTTCTAATAAATTATGTAAAATTAAAAAAAATTCACGATAATAATAATAAACGTAATGATCATGATAACAACTATTATGTTCATAACTGCGATAAATGCGGGCTGCTCCTTGGACTTTTGCCACTGGCGGTTTCATGTGTTGTTGTTGTTTGACTACTCGACGTGTTTAAATGAAACCCAACATGTTTTTTTGGACGCTATGTCCCCTCCTTATCCATCACGTAGCCTTTCTTTGCTGGTGAAGCTCGTAACCAGTCTACATATTGTTTTATCCTTCCCTTATTTCATGATTTGTTTCATTTGCATCATATTCAGATTCCCTGTGTCCCAACAGCCCATAATTATAACAGAAAGTTAGCAGCTGTTCATAAGCCAATCTTTGCCCTGATGTTCTCTTTACTTTCTACCATGTTCACCACTACGAGCCACCTTAAAGGTTTTTTTATGTTGATTTCCACCCTGACCCGCAACGATCTTCCCCATCCACTTCGGTTTTTGTTATCATTCGTTTTTTAAATACCCCAATCATATTGCCTATCTGTTCTGCCATCTTCCCATTCATCATCCCCAGCGGAAGGCTATGAATCCTTACCCAAAAAATGCGGTGTCAAAATTGTATTCATCCGTTTTCAGCAATCCATTGTAATCCTTCATTGTCGGAAAGTGTTTGTCAAAAGACCATGGGGAGCCCTACATAACCCTCTCTTTATCGCTTGTCGTCACAAACTTGATTAGAAAGAGGTTTTCGTCAAGATAGGAGACTGGCATCTCCGTCGACAATTCCCTATTATTCAGAATGTTCCAATCATTACTTCTTTGTTAAAAAGGAGATTGGTTAATAGTTTCTCGACCATCCATTTGTTTTCATCTTCCTCATCCTCTTGTGATCGTCCCCCCTCTAGTTTGATCCTTGCTTTCTCGTCCTCCGTTGGGTTTAAAAACCTCTTTATTTCTTTCAATTCCTCAGCCATGTACCACTACTTTGGACTTTTCCAACACAACGAACTAAAATTACTAAAACTCCAGAGAAAACTTTGAGAATAACTTATGCTTTGAACCTTTAAAACTGAATGAAACTCATAACTCATCTCATAGAAACTCTAGCTTTGAAAAGACTATGAATTGAATTACGTTCCAATTCTCTTGTTATTCTTCTAAGATTTGGTAAAAATTATATTAACTTCTTTGTTTTTTAGTCGTAAAAGTTATATTAATCTTCTTGAAGAATTAATTACTAAATTAATTTTAAAAGAAAAATAAATTTATTTTTGTTAATTATTAATTGTTTTTATTTTTTCTTTTACTCAAGACTTTTTTTACTATAAAATTATGAAATTTTAATTAATTTAAAATTTTTCTATTACTACAAATCAAATTAAAATTTATTTCATTTTATTCTAATTCAAGTACATATTAAACACTTTAATTTTTTTAATTCAGTTATTTTATATTAATTATAAAATGAATGTATTAAGTTATCTCTATTTAAAATAAATTAATAATTCATTATGTTTTAAGATAAATCACAGAAAATATCCTGTAATTAAGCGATATCAAAAGCTATGTTTTATTGCAACATATAATTACAATATGTGCATAATTTAGTTCTTTAAAAAGTGTGTATTGATTTAATTAGTTTATTTCCTGTGCAATATAGGAATTATCTTTACTTATTTAAATGTGTGTAAACATAAAAATTAAAACTATTTAATCACTTAAATGTTTAAAAAATATATAAAATACATATAATATAATTAAAATATCAAATTATAATAGAATTAATGTTTTTAATTAAATAATTTGATAAAATTCAAAACATATGATAAAAAATACATATTTAAAAAAGAATAAAATATCAAAAAGAATAATAATGAAGTACAGCATCAAAATATTATTTTTTCAATTTATATCATATTTTTTGCAGGAGTTTTAATAATATCTTAATTTTTAGCATCTAAGGTTTGCTAAATTAATTTTTATTGTGTATCTATAAAAACTCAAATTAATTAATTTTAAATTTAGAGTAAGTAATAGTATTAAATTTTAAACAATTAAAATATTGTCATCAAAAGGTTTGAATTAAATTAGTTAAACTATTTACTTTTTGGTTTTTTTTTTTTTAATATCAACTCTCCTTTACATAAAGTATCTCTTGAATATACGTTACTATTAATCTTACTTGAACTTGCATAAAAAATTTGTAATCATAAGTTCTACTTCAAAGATATATGAACCACCTATTAACTCTATATGATTCATTTTCTTTTCATAAAAGCTTATTGAACTATAAAATGAATTTAGTTGAATTATTTCCTTTACAATTTGGTTCTTCAACTACGACACATTGGCTTTTTGGAATTTCCAAATATCCCATCAAACTATGAAATCCCTAGATCGAAAGAATAAAAATAAAAAAAATGGGTAATATTGTCAAGCACGAAACTTTAGAACTCCTAAAAATGACAAAGGCGCAACTTTGGATAATCACTCTATTTTGTATATGCGTTTTCCATTGAACACATATATTTTATTTTACAGGTTATAATTGTCCATTGTTCTCATATTCAAGGGTGTGAATCTATTACTGAGAAACTCGAAGCATATTTGACTATTTAAGTGAGTGCAAACGATGTTCTTGCTTGTATATATATATATATATATATATATATATATATATATATATATATTTTTTGGACAATCCATGGGTAGGTCATGTTTATGGTCAGGTAATTAAATTATATTATATGTAATGAATGAAAATTTTAAAATATATTGAAAAAAAATACTTCAAAAGAGCAATAAAATCGTTTTTAGAAAATTAAATTAAAAATGAAATTGTTTGTAATAATTAAATAAAAAAGGAAAGCAGATAATTTTTTTTTACAATTTTCCTTTAATTAATATCTTGATTTTGGTACACGATAAGTATAGTTTGATGGATAAAAAAATGGCATATTATAATGCTAATAAGAATTATTGAAAAAACAATTGCAAAATCGTGTCAGTAATTATAAAATTTATTGAAAGGTATTATGTTAGCCAATGTAAAAAGCCTACTATAAAATCTCAATATTTATATCTTTAGCCTAAGCAATAAAATATATTGATAAAAAAAATTTTTAAATATATATCAAAGATTTAAAAAAGAATATCAATGTCATTACAAGGACGTAAAGCTATTTTGGATAAAGAACAAAATGAGTACCAAACAATAAAAAAGACAAAGCTAAAGGCAAAAAATCTATTATAAACACCTGCAAAAGAAAAAAAAAATGCTTATGTAAGTTTGCACTTTACAACATATGAAGAAGAGAAGGGTAGAGAAGACTTTAAATTTGTGATTGCAAAAGGGAATGTGTCTAGCTGATTGGTCTTTATAAGAACTATTATTTACTCTTATAATATTCATATATGAATTGTTTGTGTCACTCTAAATTTGAGGAGCTTCTTTATTTGATAAACATCTTAAAATCTAAATATATAGCTTTTGTGTCAGTCTTTTTTTTTCACATAGGCAAACATTTTTAACTCT